TTCCATACTTGTGGGGACATATTTACATAAAACTCTGCCACTGACTCTGACATGTTTCACTTCAACCTCAGGTTCTGTAGCACAAGGCCAGTGGTGTCAAAAACATTGCAGACTACACATTATATACCCCTCTTCACTATACAAAAAAAAAGGCAAAAAGCTAAACTTTGCCTTCCGCAAAAAGTCTCCAGGTGTTTTGGGGCTTTGATGCATCTGTTAAAGGTTGCTGCCTGCATTTGCATTTTGTGATGACACTGGAGCATCGTGCCCCAACTCCGGCTGTCCTCTCTGGACCAGTATCACAACACCTGCTCACCATAGCAACCGGAAGATGTCATACACATTTTTAAACTAGTTCTCAAAGCACCATACCATTTTCACCTTATGCTTCAGATATTCTACAGTCAGCTGTGGAAAGTAACAAAGTACATTTACTTGATTACTGTACTTTAGAACTTTTTTGAGTATCATTACTTTACTTAAGTAATTTTTAAGGGGGTAATTATAACTTTCACTCCACTACATTCCAAAGTCAAATATTTTACTTGCTACTCCACTACATTTTTGGGAAGCTGCTAGTTACTTGTACCTTTTGGCTCAGCTTAGCTTGGTAATCCGACGTTACTGTTTTTCTTTCTTTAAATACAATTTTAACATGTGATTTAGCAGTCCCTAGCACTGAATGTGGACACCACCATTTTAGAGATTTTCATGAAATTACACATATATGAGAAACTCAGGCAGATATTTATTATTATAAATGTTATTAAGGCATTAGTATTGGTAATAGATTCAACATTAAACTTCTATTGTATAGTGAAATTGTGAGTAGAATCAACACACTCCTCTTTTCTTTTTGTTTTTTTTTTATAATTAATAATCAATATAGCTGTGGCATTTTTATGCTGAAGTTCTTTAACGCTGGTGAATGTTAGCAGAGCGGTTCTATGCATCAATACATACATCAGGAGGTTTCTGAAAGTTACAAGGTTATTTAAAATTACTATGAAAGCTACATAGAAATGCACTGAAATAAGAAAGTTTAACTTGTACTTTTGGATACTTAAGTATTGTCAAAAGTGAGTACTTCAGTACTTTACTTATTTTAACTTGAATAGATGTTTGACCAAGTAAATTTTACTTGCAGTTGTGTACAATTCTACTATGAGTATCAATACTTTTACTCTAGTACTACTGTTGAGTACTTCGTCTACCACTGGCTACAGAGTTCTGCCTATGCCTGAGGGTTTTTTGACTTAATTAAAGAGAGCCCCTGCAGGGCTTACTTTTAAAGAGAAGATCCTAAGATTAAAATGGCAGAGATAAATTTAAAGTTTAACTTCAACTGCAAACCATGTATGCAGAACAGCACAAACATCTGAGCTTGGTTTAAAAGTTATGCTAAATGTTGTATCATCTGTAATTATATAAACTCTACACAAACAATATATGCCTAAATGTATCCTTCACATAGTAAAAAAAACGATCGGCTGGAGCCCAGTGGGATCAGACACAGTAGTCGCCAGATTGGACTGCTGCTGCAGAGTCAGTCCACCTGCAGCTAAGCTTAAAGCTGTTTTACTTTTCAGGAAGAGTAAATGATGGGTTAACCTGTGTGTAAGGAGAGAGGACCCCTCACAGCATGGTTCCATATGATGCGTCAGCTGCTGAGAAGTTATGCTCTCGGGAACAAATAGGAACCAGGCACCATGATCTCAGAGTTCACTGGAGCAAGCCAGGAACAGCAGCAGGGAGAGTATGTTCCCTAATAAATTGCAATCACCCAAATAACATTTTTATTTTATAGCCTGCAAATGGAAATAGAGTGTACAGTCGTTGGGAGGGGCTAGCATAAGCAAACAAAAACAAGGCAACCTTTATCAGTTATAATCATAAATAAGCAACCTGTGGGCCGAGAATAAAAACTCAACTAAAGATGTTAACAAGCAAAAAAGAAATTGCTAACAATGTAAGTATCAGAAATTACTTCTCTCTCGTACCTTAATCAGCAGTGGAAAGGTTCGTTTTCTCTCCTTCAGGAGCTTTTCCAGTCTGTGTTTTGAGGCATTTCTGAGGAAAAAATAAACCAGAGTTTAATACGAAGAAGTTTGTGTCATGTTTCACATCATCATGCAAAGTTTTATATTTGACACAAATAACAAGAGTAACAGCAAAATGTGCTCTTTAAATGTTACTTTTTGAAAGGGAAAAAGTTATCCAAACCAACCGGTGTGCCATATGTGAAAACATGATAACTCCATTGTTAAATCATCACCTGTTGCTTACATAATGTGCAGAAATCAGCACATTATGTTATGGCATCATTAGAAGAAAATTAAGGAAAGATAAAAACAGAGATCCTTAAAGGCTCACAAAGCCAAGACTTTTGGATTCAAGAAAACTGCAGTACTGGCCATGTTCCACACCTAGATGAACATGTACCAGTGGAGAACTTTTGCAGAAGTGGGCAACCTATAAAAACGACTCTAGGAGGTCAAAGTAGAACCCTAAACAACATCAAAAGCTCAGCAGGCCTTACTGCCTCGGTTAAGGAAATGGCCAACATTGGAGAGCTAAAAAGCCAGAACCACTGCTGCTCCAAAACAATACAAAGACCAGTCTTACATTTACCCAATAAATCCTGATCATGGAAGTTTAGGAAAAATGTTCTTGGTCTAACACGACAACAGTAGACCTTTCTGAAGATGTGAGTTCTTGTCTAAAACATACCGCATTACAGAAAATCAACGTAACGTCATATCTAGAGTCATACAGTCCTGGGCAGCTTTGCTGCTTCAGGACCTGGATAATCTATTCTATTAAATGGAACCAGGAATTCTACTCTGTCGTAGGTAATCCTGAAGAAGAATGTCCAACAATCATTTTGTGATTTCAAGCCTGAGCACCCTTAGATTCCAGGTGGTAAGTAGCCCCCCTCAGTCCACTTAAATGTAACTTTTTTTATGGCCATGTAAAAAACTGGACTTTACATCTAATGGATGTTAATTAGGATAATCTTAAACCGACTGTTCTTTCTGGACTGCTATACTGCAACTACATGAAACAATTCAGAACAGGTCTAAATTCCTCCACAGTGCTATAAAAAGACTCATTACCATTCAACTCAAACAGCTCATTGAGGCCAATGGAGAACAATAAAAACATTAAAAACTTTTTTTTTTTGTCTGGTTTTTGTAGCCTGAAATCAAACCTGTGTCTTAATAAAAACATCAATTTGTCTCAAATCTAGAAGAAGACATATGTGAGAAGTCAAATATCTGTTTGCAGAAAATACACCATTACCAAACAAGTGCTCCAGTGATTCAAACACTAAACAAATAAGATAAATTTTCAACAGGCTTTTGCAGAGTGACACCTTCTGGTCACTTAAATATTGTGGTATTAAGATGTTTCACTTTGCCTGTTTCTACAAAGCTGTCTTGTTAGAGGTTTTTATAAGTTATCCATATGGTAATATTGGCCAAACAGCTCCTAATAATTGATGGAATAACAGATATTTTTCTGTTATATTGATTTATTTGCATAATATTGTAGTAAAAACTGACACTGACCTTTTCTCTATTAACCTGCGCGGTGTGGTCATGATGAGGTTTCTGTCCCACAGCAGAAGCAGCAGGAACTTTTCAAAAAGCAGAACCAGCACACTGCGAGGAGCTGGACCCAAACACAACAGCAAAGTGAGCAGGCAACCCTGCTCTCTCACTGATTCACCTTTATTGTTCTGACGTTGCTTTCAGCAGGTACTGAGGTGCAGGCAGCTGTAGCAAAGAAAGAGAAAGACCCCCCCTGGGCTCTAAGCTTTCCACAACCTGCTGCAGGGATCAGGGAGGTCGCTTCATGTGTGAAGAAGTTTTTCAGGTTTTACTATTTAGGGAAGTAAAATCTACAGTTATATAAAAAAGTAAAGGAGGTGGAAATGTAAACAACCACTACTGTATGTTGCGTAAAAAAACACATGCTCAGTTGCTATACATTATCAGTTATATCTGAACATTTCTTAGAGTCAGCATTTTCATAAATTATTAATTTTTATTACTTTTTCTCACATTACTTGTACACAATAATAGTTTTTAATCAGCGGTTAGAAAAAAAAAAAAAAAAAAAAAACAGGACAGACCTAGGAAAATAATCACAATAACAAGAAACTTTGGACTTTAATTAATTGAAAAAAAAAAAAGTATATTGCTGGAATTTTCAGTGATAAATAATTTAAGCGTATAAAATAAGACAAGAGAACCTGCTCTTAACCTGTTCTTGGCTAAAAAGTTAAAACTGTAGCAAATTTGAACATAATAACCACCATTTTAATATGGGGTCAATGGGCCACATATAGTTTTAGTTGTATTAACCCAGATAAATGGGAAGCATTTCATCTAAAAATCAGAAAAATAGTGACATGTAATTAAAAATGAAGCAGATTTTTCTTATTATAGAGTAAACCTTAACAATTGCATTGTCTGCTAGGGGGAGAATTTGAGTTTTTATTTTTATTCATTAAAATAAAGCATCACATTTTTTGCTCCCCCTCATATTATTATTATTTTTTAAATCTGTACATGTGACACCAACAGCTACAGCTGAGAATTTGAGCATTGTTTTCTAAATATGCTCAACAAAAGGGATACAGACATTCTGCGGGTTTCCTTTTTGAGATACTAAGATGTTTACATTTTTATTTGTTTTTGGTGAAAATCTTTTATTAAATCTAAAGCCATAATATATAGAGATGGATATAGGTTTAAAAAGTATCAGGTGAGTTATGGATTAATAAAAGAAAAAAAAATTGTTAACATTTAAAGAGTGGGTTTAAATAAATTATACAACAACAAGTTACATCAGTGTGTGAGAGTGTGTGTGTGAATGGGTGAATGAATGTAGTGTAAAGCGCATTGGTCAAGTCTCCTAACTTGAATAAGGGCGCTATATAAGTACATGCCATTTACCATTTATTTTCTTTTAGGGACAACAAGAAGACAAAATGAATCACAGGGTTTATTTCAGTAAATAAAGGAAGCAATGCAGCACCAGTCAAAGAACAACATTCACCATCGATTTGTTTTCAGCTTATTCTTCAGTTTGGCAGCAATAAAGCAAAGCACCATCCGAGCAAAGAAAAGAAACACACAAAGCTTAAAGCAAAAACATTTCAGATTGTGGTTTTTTTATTCTCTCTTCATGAAATCTAAAACCCACTCTCCTCTTTTACCATTTCTGAGCAGAAACATTGTCAGCAGTTTTAATTACTTAACGGATAATATTACCGGTAGGTTTTATTTTCTCAACAGAAACTTCTAAACAATTATTGACATTTAATGGAGACTTGGAGCATAAAACTATGATTTTAGTGTTTTTTTAAAAGACTAATAAGCCATGGCTTTCACTTTTAGAAGAAATCTAAAAATATATGCATCTTTTCATAGATTAATTTTATAATTGATACGTTATCATTTTATTGCACCCCATTTGCTTTTCACAATAATCTCTAGAGTATATCTAACAATATTCTATGTCTGGCATAAATCTACGGCTGCTCTACAACCTTTAAAACTCTCATTCACAACATTCATATGGTATCTATTCAGCTAATTACACTCAGTAGATTAACTATGATATCACTTTGGGCCCGAACCCTGTGGCTGGTTTTCCTCCCTCTTTGCCCATTAAACATTGCAGATTTATGAAGAAGTCTTCTTTGAGAATCAGTAAGGGTCTAACATGGTTATTATTTTCTCTTTGTGAAATGATAAATTAGTTACTGAGGGGAACATGCTTGCAAAAAACAAACAAACAAAAGCTTTGGTCTAAAGGAATTTCTGATGAAACACCTTAAGCATGTATTTGGTTGGATAACAGGAGAAAACATTACAACACCACTTTAGAAAGAGGAGGTAGCAGTAGTAAAAACAAATCTGTCTCTGCTCATGTGTGAGGAGATCAAACTGGACCAGGCGAACATATGAGATTGTTTGTAAGTCAATCTGAACAGGAAAGTTATTAAAAATGCCCTATTTTAACAGAACACTCAGGAGAAAATTTTCTAAAAAACCGATTTAAATCTTTTTATCAGGACCAAGATTAAAAGGAAGTTCCATATTCACTTTTTCCCATCAAAAAACAAAACTTTATTCCATCTTAAATGTTTGATGCAGCATTTGTATTGAAAGAAAATAATGCTATGTTGAAGGATGTTTTGCTTTTAAAGCTCTTCTCTCATAGAAACCTGGATTGAGGATCTGCCTTTGTGGGAAAGGACATCCTGTTGGATCTTCCAGTCCAACAAAGTTAAAGTACTTTTAGGTCTTATACCTGGTTTGTTAGAAGCTTTTTAGACATTTTAAAAGGTTATGTCACTGCTTCATCAGAGACTTGTCTGTGGTACTCAACAGTCCTGATTCATTCAAAGACAAAAGCCTTTTTCTTTTGCCATAGCAGGTGAATACCTGACAGAAAATATAAAAACTAGATTCATGTGGAGATTTTTTTATTCCTTTTTAAAGTTGAAGTTAAACTTTTAATCTTAACTTTGTGTTTAAATGCAGTTTTCAACACATTTTCTCCTCCTGTTTCCTGTTTCTTCTTTTTGCATTTTGAAGCTCTGTCAGATGTGGTCATGATAAACCAGCTCAAAAGACAAATAACTTTATTTTTTATCTAAAACTTTGATCAAACTTTATTATGATGACAGAAAGCAGATCAAATCAAACATCATCTTCTCATCCCAGGTGCTTGTGGTGATGTTTTTCATAGCCCACTGCATTGTTGGAGCTTGATCCTGTCAGAAAATAACATTGTTCTTTTGCTTGGTTTTGTTATTTGGTTTGATTTTGTCATAAAGTTGTCATACCAAAGTACTCCTTGTAGTCTTTGAAGTATTTTGGCCTCAGGCCTCGTCCATCTGTAGGAAAACAGTTGAAAAACAAAACATTAAATGTTTTCCTATTATGACTTTTTATGAACTAATATTAGATACATTACAGTTCTCTTCATATCAGCTACCACTGATCAGCTTATCATATTATCGCCTTTTTTATGGGAGTTTACCAACTTTCTTCAGTTTGTATATTTTTTGCCGCATTTAGAAAGAGAAACCTGCGATGACAAAATGGGAGCTGCTGGTGAAAATAGACACCCTGCTCCTCCTGGAGGAACTCCACATGCTTCTATGTTAGATCATGCATGTAGAAGTATGAATAATACAAATCTGTAAGAATTTATAAAACTAAATATGTAGGAAAAAAATGGTTGTACTGGTTACATGGATTAATTGTGATGTGTGTTGCATATCTATATGTTAGGTGGCTTTTTTGCATACTTTTAAGATGAAATGTCATTTAGAGTTATCATAAAAGATGAACACCTGTTGACTTCAGTAACCAATCAGAACTAAATAGTCAATAGTATATATTAAATAAATATATACATAAATAAATAAATAGACAGATATACCAGAGCTGACTCGTTGCTTGATGCACTGGCCCCGGTTTGGGATGCCGGCAGCAGGGTTTCCTGGGTTGATGATGTGGCAATCATAGCCTGTAGGACAGTGAAGAGGTTCGTCTCCATCCTCTGTTGTGCTGCAGGCTTCAGCTGATGGACAGATTTACAGAACCAGTTTATGTGTTATGTGTATACTTTTACTTGTACTGCAGTTTTTTCTACATTAACCACTGGAAAATGCCAGCAAGCAAATAGCTAATTTAGGTCTGGTCTATAAATATGCAAGTCAGGAGACATGACCGAAGCGGTTACAGGCCACATACCTTTTTTTTTTTTTTTTACCATTTTCAAGGGCTTAACATGAGCGTATCAGCCGATATCTGAGATCCGATTCAACTGTTAAATAGATTAACCATATGTCTTGCCTTGTGAGTGAAGGCTTTAGTCTTGACATAAACATTGTTTAAAAAGTAACAAATTACAGATATAATTTAATTTATATTATTTATTAATAAATAATAATCAAAAAGAAAGACAGAACAGTTCCATGTAAAATGTGCTGGGTTGAATCTCTAATATCCAATCCAGCTCAGTAGCAGATATTGGGAGTTGATATCTGTGTACCGGATTGGTGCATCTCTACTTAGCAGCAGTATTCAGGTAGGCTTCAAAATGTGTCCAAACCCATAAAAAAATGCAGAAAGAAACAAAATTCTTCTGTTCAGCCATGGTTGTCTTAATGTTTAGTTGCATTAGTTGTGTTTCTCCAAATCTTACTGAACAGCTGTGTTTACCCACCTTGAAGAACCTCCTCTGGACCATCCAGGAGCCAGCCATTTCCTCCTAACCATCGAGGTTTGGGCTGAATCAGCCAGTCCAGCACTGCTCGAAATCAACAAAACATTAGCCCTTCTAATGTAAGTCATAAAAGTGTGAACTCAAGGTTTTGACAGAGAACAGCTGACCTGGTGGAGGCTGAACAGACTCCAGGCAGGCGTAGATGCAGCCGTTGTAGCAGCATCGTTTATGGCGCTCACACTCTGAGTCAGAGCGGCAGCCTGGAACATCACAGGCTCTCTCTGGCAGCATCTGCGGTGGAGGTGGACACCGGTCGTTCTTCTGGTGCTGTGCGGCTTCTGGGTGGTTGAGGGAGTCATAGTCCTGAAACACAGACATGTGTTTGGACAAATGTTGGACTAAGAAGTTGATTTTGACTCTTAAACGTTTTACCGGTATTTGAATTCAAAAACAATTTTCTTTGATTGAAAACATTTATCATTTTATTGAAGTGATTTTTTTTTATTGATTTTGTTGTTTGTTTGTTTGAAGCAACTTATTGTTTGATTGAATGATAAAGACACAAACGTCCTACCCATTATAGGATCCAATCAAAAAACAATGTTACTTAAATAACAAAATTGCTTTAAACAAAACAATTTGACTTCTACTAAAGAAAACATTTTCAATCAAAGAAAAGCAATGCTCAAATGTATTTATTTGAGTGTCAACTATATTTTTGCATTCAAATAATTTTTTTCTTTGATTTAAACTTTTTTTTTTCATTTGAAGTGAAGGGTTTTTTAATTGAAAATATATTTTTCTACTGAAGCAACCATTTTTTTTTTTTTTTTGTGAAAGCTTCCAGGATGAGAAGTGAAACGTCTTTAAACTTAAATAACAAAGTCCACAGTTTTTTTTTTTTTTTTTTTTTTTTTTTTGAATAATATAGAACCAAATCTGCCTTCATATTGTTGTTGTTCAGGAAGACTTTAATTAAATCCTCTTTTAACCTATAGAGGGCAGCAAAAGGCCATAACACAAAACATTGAGGAAGCTGTTTTCTACCTTAATAGGACTGTCAACCTGGATAAGAAAAATTTGCACATATATGCGTGCCTGGTAACTGATGGCAAAATCTGAACCAAAGAAAACTCAGTTTAGAATAGTTTGCATTTTTTGTCTTATTTGGAAGACATTCTGAATGTTTACAAGGCATAAACCTTTATTACAACTTTCTCATCATTAAACCAGAGACAGGACAGACTCTAGCAGGGAACACTAATCAAAAGAAAACACTTTTTACTTCAGCAGCAGATGATTATTCCATCAGGAAAAGAAGCAGAGCGAGTGAGGACGAAGTTTGATCTCAAAGCAGATCTTTCCATTAATGTAAAAGCACTTTATGAAAAAAAGCATGAGAGAAAAGTGCAGTCAAGGGCAAATTAATTATTGGGTTTTACTTACAAAGTCCATGCGTGTAAACCAGAACAATAAATAGCCAATTGTACTGTAGCGCAAAACATGATAATCTGAATTAGGGTTATTCCAGAACCATCCTGGTGATAAAATTATACACAGAAACTATTGCAGCATAAAAAAGGGCCATGTGTTTCTGCCTATAGGTCTCCAGTTTACATTGCAACTATATGATTTAAGGTAAAGGAAATGAAGACAGAAGAAAATGAGAGACAGATACTAAATTTGTATTCAGCCTCGTCTTTCTACAAGCTTCTAAAACAAAATCCCCCCTTTGAACCAGAGCTCTGTTTAATCCATTATCTGAACATAAAGAAAAGATGGAACAACTGCACACCTACCAAGATGTGGTCATCCACCTTAACTGAAAAGTAGAAAAAAGTATGAACAGACATTTATTAGTCTTATCCAATAAATGTTTTTTTGTTTTTTTTTATTGAAAAGAAGCATCAAGGAAGCCATAGCTGACTGAAAACCACAATAGGTCCTGTGTGCAGTTTGTCAAAAGTCACATGATGGGGCAGTGGAACCCAACCCTAGTCCCCTGGGCCAAATGTCCCACAGGCAGAGATGGGAAGTAACGAAGTACAAATACTTCGTTACTGTACTCAAGTAGATTTTTCTGATATTTTTACTTTACTTTACTACTTATTTTTATGGCGACTTTCTACTTCTACTCCTTACATTTTTACACAAATATCTGTACTTTCTACTCCTTACATTTTAAAAAATTGGCCCGTTACTTTAGTTTTGAATCATTTCAATGGAGTTACCATTATTATTTTTAACGTCATCAATACCAAATTCAATCTAATTGGATGGGAATCTACGTTGCATTTGACGCACCACTACAAGATGAATCGACAGATTAGGCGGTATTCATTCGCGGCAAATCATTGCAGCTTGGTGGCGGTGGCGTTAGCAAAGTAGTATAGACGACGAGATGATTGAAAATGAACACAACGGAGATCTAGTCCTATTGGCAGACATCCATTTAACATGTAGGTAACGGCATGAAAAAAGTGGTTTCTACTTTTACTTTTATACTTTAAGTAAATTTACAAGCCTGTACTTTGTTACTTTTACTTGAGTAAAGAAGTTTAATCAGTACTTTCACTTTTACCAGAGTATTTTTTAACACAAGTATCTGTACTTTTACTCAAGTACAGAAAGTGAGTACTTTTGCCATCTCTGCCCACAGGCTTAAGTGCACTGAGACAATTTTTTTTTAGCATGCATGCTAAATAAAATGCAATGAGGGAAGCTGACTTACATAACCCTAAATGATTTGATGTAAAGCACCCTACATTAGTGGCAGCATGATGCTGTGGGGTTGATTATCTTTAACAGGAACAAGAAAAATGGCCAAAGGTGATGGGTTGATGAATAGAGTTAATACTGCAACCAGAACGAAAGAAAGCTCAAGTTAATAAAAAAGCAGGATGATGTTTATGAGTGGCCTAGTCAAAGTCCTGACATACATTTACTTGAGAGTCAATAGCAGTAACTGAAAACAGATGCACAAATATGCTCTCACTCCAATCTAATTTAGCCACTGCTTTTTTACAAACAAAACATGGACAGAAAACATAGGCTGTGGATGTTAGAGGGATAAATGTTATTTCAGTCAAAGCTTCTTCTATTTAGATGCTTGGGGCTAAATAAAAATAAACACCATGGTTTTCAGACTTTAAGTCTCAAAACATCCAAAAACCTTGTAGGATCTTCCACCCACCTTATAGTTATGCATCCCTTTGCATTTGTCTATTGCAAAACCCTCTAATAAACTTTGAATTTTGTGGTTCTCCTTGAGAAATTTTTATTTTTTATTTTCTTATGACGCCATCAAGTTAATGAGCCTTATTAGAGTAATTTGCCTCCTGAAGCAGTACTTGTTTTCAGTCATGTGGATGAATTTCTCTCACACTAAGAATGCAGAAACTCTCTCCAAACCAAGGAGAGAAAATGCTTTTAATGCAGGATTTGTAATCATGTAATTGTTCTGTGGGCTTGACAGTATCATGAAAATGTGCCATTTATTTGGCAAATTGACTATTATCCTTAAGTAACGGCAAACAGAAATGAAAAAGCTTGGTTCTGGTGGTGGTATCACAAACTATTAAACACACTTTAATGCAGTCAGACAGCTGCAAACTTATTGGGTGGACTGTTTCTAGGAGGTTCAGGGTCCTCTACGGAACAGCGGGACAAACAATGTGTGGCTCAGTTACAGCTTGTAAAACTTTCTCCCAGAGCCTCAAATTACTGGAAACTGTTAACGTTGTGCAAAGCGGGTGAGCAAGTTTCTTTAAAAGGCATCAAGCCGCAAGAATTTATACCCACAGACTTAAACAGTGACTATCAGACACAGACTGACTCGACATGTTTGGCCAGCAGAGCTTTTTACATCATACTGTAAAGCAGACAGCCATTCCAGTGTTAAACTTTCTAGGGATGCAATGATAAATCTGTCTTGGGTTTTTGTAACTAGAATGAGAAGTGTTTTTAAATCCAGCCATAAATGTACCGGTAGCTTAAAAAGCTTTTTGAATGTATAAAGAGAGGGATACTCTTTTATAGTACTATCAATCTTATTCCAGATCTCCGGGCATCTACACACTACACTGAAGCTATTTAACTTCAAATGATGAGTTCTCCCTCTTAATAAAGTTTCCATCTTGCGCTATGTCCATGAGAAGGAGCGATCAGTGGACATTTACTTTATATACCATGTTATACATAACACAATCATTGTGAAATCTGTTGCACCTAGTGATCTTCAGAAGCATGAACCCATAAAAAGAGGATCTTAGGGAGTGTTAAAGTGCCCATGATATAACACGTAGAGAGAGATTTTGTTATATAATATTTTAAACAGTTTCGTTTAATAAAATCTTCATGTCTTTGTTTTATTTGGTCTGTGTTAATTTTTATCGAATAAATTTGATCAATTTAGTAAAAATAATTATTATTCATTATTAAATTGATCTTGGAGGGAATAATACTTACTCTAATCCTTGAGAACATTTAATTAAGTGAATGATAAACAATTCCTAATTCTAATCCTTTACACATCTTTATATTAGTCAATGACCTATCCCCATAGAAAGTTAAAATATTATTGTTTTAAACATTAATTTGTTGTACCAAATACATTTATTCAGCAATTATCTTTGTTAGAGTAATATTATCATGCTACTCTGTGTTTGTTGTTTAGTTAACATATTAAAAGAACAGCTATCAATTTCTTAATATCTGATAAATGGCCTGGAAACAACAAACTTAATAGCCTAACAATGAAGCAGGAAAACTACCAAAGTCTGAAACTTCTGTTTCAGAAGATTTATGAATGAGTTCTTTAAAGTCAGCTATGATTGCATAATAACTTAATAACTCTAACCCTCTGCTTGTCTTACATCCTATCTATTCTCTGCTTTTCCTTCAAGTCCTTCCTGAAATTAGGTCAAGTGTTCCCTTCCTGTTTATGTGAGTTTGTGCTACAACATGGCATCAAGTGTCCATCTGATCCTAGAGCTCTGAAAATGTGAGCCTCGTTTAACTAACTCTACCCATCCTTCAACCGGACTTCAGTGTAGAGATTTATATCATATTGCTCCCTATGCTTTCACGCTACTGGGTGCCAGATGGGCCGCCATGCTCTAATCCTGAGCTTTATCACACTATCCGGCTCCCATCTCTCTGATGTTCCAATGTTTACTCAGCCTCTGTTCTGCTGGGCTGCCCTCACATTGTGCCCCAGCCAGCAGGAACATGTGTGATGTTCATTTTTTTTTTTCTCTCTGTCTGTAACACTATATCCCACATAGTCTGTAGCTTCTCTCTGTTGCTCCTTTTATTCATTTATATTGTTACCACAGGAAAGTATTAGTATAGTGTGTTTGATGTAACATCTGATCTCTGCCGCCCTTTTTTTTCTGGTTACTCCGCTGATATCTATTTATGTTGCATTTGAAGGGACCGGTCCAGACTGGGTCCAGACCAGGATGTTGGTGATTCAAAGAGGAGATCTAAGTGGATCAAAGAAGTCTGCTTCCTTTGAGGAGGAGTTCAGACAGGAGACAGGCATCCTGCTGCATTCATTCATTCATTCATTCATTCATTCATTCATTCATTCATTCATTCATTCATTCATTCATTCATTCATTCTCAATATGTTCTACACTAAAGACAAATAAAAACCAGGTCAAGTTATTTTCCAAGCATAACATGTTTGTCCATTTTTTTTCAACCATTTATCTGAGATATAAGTAACAAGTTAGAAAAAATACCAAGACATCGAAGGTTTTGCTTTTGGAGCAGAGAAACAGTGGGTCAGGTGGTACGAGTTCATCTTCTGGTTTTAGCCCCCACTCACTCATGGAGGCTGACCACAACTACACCCATAGTAATAGAGTCCCAAGGCCCTGAATTTGAGCTTTGCTAATTGTTCAGAACCAATGACTGTTTGTTTTTCTTTCCAAATTTTCCTTAAGGAAATTTGCTTTCTTTTGGGACAGCCAATTTAATTGCTGTTTAGACACAACTGTTTAAAATGCTTCAGTGTCCTTTGATGTCTTTCATCTTGTACTTTAAAAAGTTTCGGCAGATTTCCTGAATGTCTGTTAAGAAAATCCTCTTTGGATGATGAACAATCACATTTATATATATATATATATATATATATAT